CTCCAGTCTTAAAGCGTACAGACTCGGTAGAGGCACAGTGTGAAGCACCTGCCTGGGAAATGAACGCCATCTGATAGGTCCTATAAAAAGACAGTTTTGAGCCACTCAGTTACAATCAAAAAGCCCACAACCTGCACCATCTTGTATCTGAAAGAAAGTGATAATGTAGCATATTCCTTCTCATCCAGGGCCAAGACGCTAGGAATGTTCAAGTTTTGTCAGATATTCCAATGTAAATAAATGTCTCCACCCATTGTAAGTCTAGTTGGAAGTATATATACACCAGATAAAATAGGCCAGTGGAGAATAACAAAGCCATGAGAGTGATACTATTCTCCTTTCTCTAGAAATGCCTGAATTTTAAATTTTATCCCCTTTTTTTCCTTACTAACAATTCATGTTACAATTTTCAACATGACAGTAACAAAAACAAAGGTTTTTTACTTTTTTAGGAAGGAAAAGAAGAGGAGGAATTATTAGGATTTTTTCTTTCCTTTCTGGTAGAGTAAGGATTCATGGTTCCATGGCCATCCTCATTCTTCTGCTGAGGACTTAGGGAACCTCAGATATTTTGACAGATTTGTGATTCCCCATCTTGTGATTCTGTGGCACCCTCATCTTGGTGGCTTGGTAATACATTCCATGGTTTTTCATTTAAAATCAAAGATTTTGGCGTCAGATTCACATACAATAAACTGAAAAAGCTCGGGTTCCATGGAAGAACAGACAATAATTCTGTTTTATTGATCCAATCCGCTACTTGACATCATACAGTAACAGAACACGAGTCATAACTGTATACAAAAAGCCACTAGGCTGGAATTTTATCAGCATCGCAAGAAATCAGGCAAAAAAGCAAGCACACAGTTGACTGTAACTGACGAAGAACCTTACTTCACTAAGAAGCGAAATTTACCGTTCGAAACGGAAAAAATGAAGCACTTGTCACAAAGATGACAGAACGATCAAACTTATTATATTCTACCAGAAACTTAAAAAATTGACAAAAATATTCTATCAAGCTTTGGAGATAAACAAAACACAAATGGCACATAGCACCAACCTGAAATTACAGAAGGAAGAAAACTCACACATCGCAGTACTCTACTTCAATATCAGAAATATCGTGTAAAATTATAGTCAACACCTTCGAATTGGTTAGCAAAGAATATTCCGCAGAAATAAACACAATAACACGAATCCCTACACGTAAAATTGACTAAAAAGAAAACAGAATTCCTCGGAAGAACAAAGGATTCAACAACCACCTGAAATTCCACGGTTTGAAGCTACGATGGCGTAGAATCCGATTTGGATACAGGCAAAATGTAGAGGAAAGATGATAATCCAAGCGGAAGGGAATTGAGTGAGAGAATCGGGGAGGATGAAGTATTGGGTGTTTCAATAAAAGAGCAACTGAAATGAGAAGAAAAAGGTGTCAGGTGCGGGTACTAAAATAGTGGAGCGGCACCCCGCACCATATTGTTCCTCCATGGTCCACTTGCTTCCACTGACTGTTACGTCAGCACTCGAAACAGTCCTATCTCCTTCCTCTAGTACCGTAAATATGGAAATGTATTTACAATTTTACAGAAAAAAATTAAATTTAATTTAATTAATGCCATCTGTCATATAAGTAAAATAATATATATTTTCAAACACTTCCATGCGAGTATTTTAATTATTACTATCATTAACTTTTAGTTTATAGTAATTCAAATTAAAAGAAAAGCGTTTCAATATTTATTACAATGATTATTATAAGATCAGTATAATTTAATTCTTAATTATATTAGATTTACTTAATTATATCATTAATAAGAGTTAATTTTTTTAAATATAAAATTAAATTTTAAATAACCCTTTTCCTGTTAGGTATTACCTGCTAATTCAAACATTTAAAACGTGGCTTTGACTCCCCCCCACTAACCCGGGAGAAAAAACTGTTTCAAGCATACAATATGTATATATATATATATATATATATAAATAAATAAAAAATATGTGATGAAATTAGGATCTCTTATCTTATAACATTTGAAACTCGTATTATATATATATATATATATATATATACACACCTTAATCTCTACTTGTATTAGTTTATTATATACTAATTCATGTTTCAAGATATTCACAAATTATTTAATATTTTATTAATTAACTAAATATACACGAACAAAAATAACTAATAATATATACTTAATTGTGTTATACATACATACACATATATATGTGCGCTCGTGTATTTTATAATATCAACTTGTTTATAAATTTTGATTTTTTTTGTTATAAAATAACATATAAAACATCAATATGATAATATTTTTGTGCAAAAAAAAAACCTAAAAATCATAAAATTACGAATAAATGAAGGCAATAATTTATTGCCACTCAAAATTGCGTTTGATTTTCACATTTGTTCAGTTAAAGTATTCCTGTGAGCTTAACGTACTGCTAGCCGGCTACGGCAGATTCAAATATTTTACTTCAGAATTAATTTTATTATAATTTTTTGTTGGGAAAAAAAAAACTAAAAACTAAAATCGAAAAAATAGTGGGAAGGAAAATTAAATTTTAATTAGTAGAGTAGGAACAAAGAATCCGTTGAGTTCAAATTAAGTAAAATTAAAAAGGATTAATGTAATAAATTATTAAATTAATTTAGAAAATTTCATACTTATTATAACATATTTTTTCTACTATATTATTTTACTATAGTTTTGTGATTTTACTATATTATTATCATAATGAAGTATAATTACATATCATCGTAACTTTTCATATTGTATATATTTTTTAACTATTTATCTCAAACGTTTGTGAAATTTTTCTTCTCATAATGAAGTATGATTACCTATCATACTACCTCTTAACATATTCACTTAATTTTTATATACATATATATATATATAATGCTTATAATCACAAAACTGTTTTGGGTATACCGGAAGAAAACGACTTTCACAAAATAATTAGATATTATTTAGGACTTAAATTGTTTTATATATATATATATATGTATGTATGTATGTATCGTAAGTCAAAAGCAGATTACTTTTGATGAACGTAAGTACTCGCTTCTGTTCCTGGTATTCGGGGATAGGTTAACATTCCTAAAACCTGACTCCACAAAGATTCGTTAAGTCAAGAACAGTTGCTAAACATCAAGAAATATAATTATATTATAATAACAATCTGAAAAAAAAAACAATGGTGTAAACTAAAAAGAGCTGAAACTGAAGAAACCTAACTTAAAAACCTAAATGTAGGGAACACCAAGTAATGATCCAACCGTCAAGAAATTCAAAAGTTCAGTCAAAATATAAAAGAAGTTGCCAACACAACACAATCTGATATGCGTTATAAATGCATAACTACTTCCCAATCCCCCTCCACATAAAATAGGAGAGGTAGGTAGAAACATGAGCCCCAGAGCAACAGAGGAATTATTCAAGTTGGGTCCATTGCTAAGTAGTCTCTACTCTCTATGCGTCTGGCGCCTTTGACTCTATTTTTACCTCTCATTGAACGAGCTTACAATCCCAGCTTACACAATTCATGTACCCACTTGGAGAAAACAAATCAAACAAGAATACCCATTATATATGCACAGCTGAAAACATAGACGCAAAGACTCTATATTTACCTCTCATTAGTCGAGGGTATAATCCCAGCTTTACACAATTCATATACCCACAAGGGGAAAAGGAATGAAACAAGAATATCCCTTATATGAATAGCTGAAAACATAGAAGCAGTTTAAAGCAAAATCAGCAAGTTGAACTCAACAAGATAAGTGGCAATAATCAAGATCCGTATGACAAGGAAAACCCAGGAAACAAGATTTGGGTTTGCAGTTGCAGCCCATTAATTTCAAAACAAAGATTGGTATTACTCTAATTGCAACCACTACTACCAGAAAGGATTGAGAAATTCTACCGTGTTTCTCACACCTAAAAACTACTACAGCATATACATGTAATTCCTAATAACCAGGATTTCATTATGATTGAATAGTTGAAGCCTCGATATACATGCAGGTTTGATGTTTCCCTCTCTAAGAAGTAATAACCAGATATCTCACTCATAAAGAATATTAACTCTCTCATGAACACAGTGAATGATGTGCCGAGAAAACTCATTAAGTCATAAATGATCTTCTTTACCTTCTTGCATCTCTTCATTGGCTTTTCATTCCGGGTATCATTGGTATCTATTTTATAACCAATTTACTCTGGCTAAAACAAAAAGATGTGTGTGGAATGGTTGAACTTCCATGTAAAGCATGTGATGCATATAATCATCTTCAACATCTCAACTTTTTTTTAATTCCATTTCATAATATTTGCATGAGAAAGGAAAAGAAGCTAGGTGCACCATTAAATAGAAGAAATTTCAGACAAATCAGTTGCATGTCAAGCCACTTACCATTAATTTTGTTTAAAATGAGTCTATCAATCTAAACTTGAGTCTTAGAAGTTCCAGAAGTGAATATTATACAGGTTAAATACTTATACATGATGACAGCATGGGAGTCCAATGCTAGACTACCTTTTTCACTATCTTTTTCTCCCCTTTTTTTCTTATACACAGCAAGGCTAATATGGGGACTATTGCCATTTTAAGAATCGTGATAAGCGCAAATAAAACTGTACAGCTGACGGAGATTACCAGAAAGTATCATCAACTGCCAGTGCAGTGGGCTCGACATCATCTTCCTCCTGGAGCTCCATTTCTGGCTCTTCTGACCCAAATTCAGCCGATTCAATGTCAGCAAGATTCTTCAGATCCACAACTGAAAGCTCATCTAAGGACCTCACCACCAAATCAGCAGCCCCAAGCTCGTACATGGGATGCTTACTAGCAACAGCCACACACTTCATTCGTGCATCATGGGCTGCCTCCACTGTCTGGTTGGAATTCCCGAACACGATGCAACGCTCAGGTATAACCTCTAGAAGCTGTGCTGCATACACAAACATCTCTGGGTCAGGTTTCCCCCTATGAACATCCTCTGCTGCCACAATCACACTAAAGTTTCCCTCGATTTCAATTGATCTGATTGCAGTCTCAAGGGGTTTCCGTGGCCGGGTGGAAACCAATGCCATAGGTATCTTGTAATGCATCAAAACATTCACAAACTCTCGAGATCCAATTCGTAGCCGATACATGCCACCCTGCAAAGCCTGATAAATATCTTCCTTCCTGGAAGCCATTCTCTTCAACTCTGCTGGGTCCCTCGACCAGCATAATACTTCAGAAATTGCTTGCTCATTTTTCATCCCTTCAATTCTTCTAAGGATAAAACCTGGCGGAGGAGATTTTCCTTCTTCTTGAGCCAAAACCAACCAGGCTTGCCTCTCAAGATCAGGATTATCCTCAATTAGAACTCCTTCCCACTCAAAAATAGCACCTAACCAACCACAGCCCATCCTTTCTTGTCGAAGTAAAGGATTGTGCAACTTAGGGTTATCAGCTTTATTTGCTGGTGGCCACAACCCAGGTTTTCTATCAACACCGGTGTCGTATCTGTAATCCCAACTCCGAGGACTTTTATCCTCCTCTTTGAATGCACGCACCTCCTTTGTCAGCTCCATAGCAAGAGCCTTAGTTGGTGAATTTGGTAACCTATTGACTTTCAATCTTCGCAAAGGAGAGGAAACAATCCTTCTATGGCCAAACTGAGTTAACAGGAACTGATAATGCTTTGAAGATTTCTGTCTCCCGGACATATCCTTGACAGAAATACTTCTGCCTAACGGTCCATGCCCTAACAGAGATGTTGCAGCAATTGATTCCACCATGTCTAACCACTGAGGAAATCTCAAACCCTCAACTCTAGATTGACAAGTTTTCCTTGTAGCCACTAAACCCTTTGACTTCTCCTCGAATTGAACACAAAATTAGCCAAGCACTTATTCAATACCTCCGAATAATAAAACCATCGTTAGTATCCCCTCCAAGCGAAGCTAAGCATAACCTAATATCCCTAGGAATCTGTAAACCCCAAATTACCCAGATAACAAATGTAAAATCTATGAATATCCAAAGCCCAAAAAGCAAAAAAAAATCTAAAAATATTATGTACAGAAAACACCCAGAAAATTCCGCAGAGACGTAGCGCAAAATTAGGAATATTGTTTTGCACAATCGATCCAAGTAGACATGAGCCAAAAAAAATATGACTTAATTATTAGTAGAATTTATAGGAAGTATATATACAAGGAAGAGGAAGATAAGGAAGAACCTGATACGGAAACTACCGGCGATGAGAAGAATCGATTGAGATTGAGAGAGAGAGAGAGAGAGAGAGAGAGAGACTAGATTGACGTGGTGAATCTCCCTCTCTGGTTTCTTGAAGAAGAAGGTTTGAGTTTCTCGTATTTTCTGTGGCTTATAACGATACAGGGGCATTTATGTCATTCCAGATAGCCGCCGTGATGAAATGTCAAATGATGATCTTATCTAATTATAAATTATTTTTTATTTATTTTTTTCATTTAATTTACCTAGCCATTCAATTAGAAGATTCTTCTAAATTATTTTTCAAAATGGACTTTTTTTTTAATTATTTTTCTCCTAATTGTATTGCGTCAAAGTTATATGTATTTTGACTAGTTAAATTTTTAATATGATTAAACTTCAAATTAGTTTCATAATAATTAGATTTTCTTTTAGAATACATAATTAAAATTTAGTTTATATATTACCATAAAAATTTAATGAGTAAATTGTTGAATTACAATCACTTTTCTAGTTATCTTTATGCACATATAATTTGTAATTAGCAACTAATAATAATAATAACAACAATACTTAGTTTGACTTATTTTTGTTATTAGAGATTATTTTATTAAAATAATTACTCTCGTCTATTTATTTAAGAAATAATAAATAATAAATTTGCTTGACTACTAAAGATGAAATGATTTCAGTTTAATTTATTTTTTTTTAATTTAATAAAAAATAATAAGTTTATATAGCTACTAAAAAGCTCTACAAATATGAAGGACTTATTATGAGTTGATTTTCAATTTGATTTTCTTTTATTTGATATGTATAATTTAATTATAATTTATATATGCATTACATAGTTAAACTAATTCAATTTACATATTTAATTGTTATACTAATACATTTGACTATACACTTGTTTACTAAGAAGTAACAAAAACATGAAACTTGAATTTAGATATAAAATATTTTGTGTTAAATAATATTGAAATTTTATTAATAAATTAAAATATATGGGTCACCAACACATAATATCAAAATATCAATGATGAAAGACTCAAATAAAATGCATGTAACAAAAATTAATATAAGTAAACACAACTAAAATATGTATAATTTTAACTATACATTAAATCAAAGTAGAAAAAAAGGACATCCCTTGACCACCAGGCATAAATAACCTAGCCATTGCCCCGAAAAGATGATTATCGAAAATTTATAACTATAAGAATTAAAGGTATAAAGATTTGATAGACTAATTCTTAATATAGACAGTAAAAACAAATTTATAGTGCGAAGAATACATTTTCACCCATAATAGCAAACATATATATGTAATATTTGCATTGTGTCTAGCTCTTTCGACGAAGGCTTCTAACTGTACTTCAAACATGGATGTTCATTTATATTCACTTTCATAGCCATCCAACAACTTAAAACAAGTATTCCAGACCTTGAAAAGTGCATATGTATCATAAATAGCTTTAACATATTTTTATTTGTACTTTTAGCACATGTTTTCAAGCCTTTTAAATTCTTTATAATTTCAACTTCTAAAATAACATTTTGATAAAATTCAATATACTTGAGCGGAAGCAATTTTAGAGTTTAGGGTTTACATTCCTTACAAAGTAAATTAGGATACTCAATAGGGCTACTGGAACATCCCTTTTAAGGATGTTTAAATAACGTAATAAGTGTAAATAAAACAAAACATAACTAAAAGTCCTATAAGGTTAACCTCTACTGGGCAACTCTGATGGGATTTGAAAGACAACTTTTATTCACAACTTTCTTACTGTTCAGAATTTGAATTTGTGTCTTCCTGATCTGAAATGGTTAAATAAAGGGGATAAACTATATTAATCTAGTAAGAATATTATACTTAACACCGATACGAAAAATTAAAGATTGGTAAAAATTGTCAAACAACCAATGGAGTCATTATTTATTTTTAAATAAATTTGTTTAACTTAAAAACCGTTGTTTTATATTTACCCTCATGAGTTTTCAAAACCAACCTATGAAGATAATAAGTTGAATAACATTATAATTTCATATTTAAATGAGTAATAACAAAAACTTACCTTATTATTTGCTACCAGTACTTTTAGGCGTCCATAGGGATCTCCCTTACGCTTGGACCCAATATCTAAATTATCGATTAATTGACCATTCTCATACCTCATTCGGTAATGGGTGCCAAACATACCACCATCTCAATACCTCGTCCGTATGATGGTGAATTATACCTCTCAGTCCATTCCGGTATGAGATTTCTTAGCCCCGTTTGATTGAGATAATATTCACAGTAGGATTTTTTTTATGTACCGGGTCCGTACACCCTTCCCCAGGGTATCCAATAATTATTTCATATATAGATCCACATCATCAACCAATCACGTATCAACATCTCATTTTTACCAATTAACAGTAAGTCATGTAAATAGACAACACGTAAATCAAAAAAATATGGCTATGACATTTATTTTAATTAATCGAAAAATAAGAGAAATAGTTAGGCAATCAATAACGAGAGGGCAATAAATCTATAAATAAAAGTGCATACGATAAACCAACAAATATATCCTGCCAATAGATAAATAGTATCGACAAAATATATAATTTTGTACTGACTAGTTACCGGCTCAACTGGTGACTTGTAATTAATTTTAGAGTTTTTTAATTTTCAAAAAATACAACGTTATTAATTATTAAACTTCAATGTATCATAAAGGAGAAAATGGTGAGGGATTCTTACCCTATATCGGTGTTCGAAACACTATACTTTTCACTGCGCCTTCTGGCAGTTCTCGAATTTTCTGAATTTTTCCTACGGAATCAAAAATATGTGTGATATATCCAAAATACTCCAAAAAAGGTCAAAATAAGTGTTTTTGAACTTTATCAGCCAATTTAAGGTTCCGGTACGGCGGTGGTTCCTCTCAGCATAGCCGTTTTTTGCTGGTATAAGCCGTTTTTTGACTTGTTTGGCATGGAAACCTGCAAAAAATAAGGTTAAGGAACCTCTATCAGCCAGAAAATGAGAAAATCGAGACCCTACCGGTGGAGGGGTCTCCTAGTACGGTGACTCAGTCGTTCCTCCTCTGCAGTTAGGGTGTTTTTTCGGTTAACATGCACAAAAAAGAAACGAGAAACACGATGATCAGAAAATCGAGAGAAACGAAAAATGGAAAACGAGAATGGGGTCATCATAGGAGGTTCCAGGTTTCGACCGCGGCGGCTCAGCGGAGCTTCGCTCGTATTTTCTGGCTCATCCGTCAGCCTTTCGACTCTGATATGGGCAAAAGGAGGTTTGGGATTCAATTCGGAGCAAAAAGAAACATTTTACCTTTTCACGTCGACGGTGGCTCCGGTGCAGTGACAACAGTGTCCCTCTAGCGGCTGAACTTCCCTCCGACTGCCCTCCTTCTTCTCTCGTCGTGGATATCGGTTAGGGTTTTGGGAGCTGACTAAAGAAAGGTTCACTCGCGTCGATATGGAGCGAGAAGGGTCGTCTGATTCGATGCATGTTTAGGTCGATGCGTGCGCAAATTTGGATCATCCATCGCGATCAAATCCGGTCGTCCGATTGTGTCTGAAGAGGAAATGGATCTGGATCGTTCGTGCGTGTGGGATGCAATCTGGGTCGTTGGATCGCCCACACAGATCACCCGTGTAGAACCGGTGTCAGCGTGTTCGCCACATGGTCTTTCCGACTCGTCGTGCTGCTGACGTGGATGTATTTTTAAAAATTATGTTTTTACCCCAGTTTTTTATATTTATTTTCAAATAAGTCATCCCTTATTTTTACTTTGGTATTGATTTTTGAAAATATTTTCAAATGCATCTAAAATTTAATTTTCAACAAAATTTCATAAAAGTCAAAATTAAATTATTTTAAATATATTTTTTTTATTAATATTAAATTATCCCTAACTAAATTTCTAGGTTCGGATGTTAAAAGTATTTCATATTTAACTTGTTCATGTTAAAATCAAAACATCAACCACGTTAGTTTAACCAAATCAATTATCATTAAAAAAATAAGTTACTACTATTAATGCATTTGTAATTTTTCGGCTTTATTTTTCTATTCTTCATAAGTTTATTGAATACCCAATTTGATGGTTGAATATAAGAGATTATAACTATCAATTCATATTTTAATGTTACTAGTTTGGCTATATAGAGCAATTATGCAATATATAATCATCATTCATTAATTAATTGAGTGTACTTCTCCACTTTCTTATAACATTTCTTATTGTGGGAATCATATACAAATGTAGCTTCCATCTTTTAATCGGTTTTGTCTTATGCTTATGTTTCAATTTCAAAAGTGTGGTATCAACCATCAATAACTAGCTAAATTATTTATATGTTATATTTTATATAAATTAATCAAATTCATAATTTTATTTGTTTTATAAAATTAAATAGTCAAGTAAAGTGAGATTAACAACAGAAAATAATATTAATTTAAAAAATACAAATGAATGATGTTTGGAAATAATGTTTAATAGAATAAAAAACACAAAAAAGGGAAAAAGGATAAATAAGAAAAAGAAAAGAAAAAAAAAACATAT